CTTCCAGCATCCTTTGCACTACACTTCAGTTTTTCTTTTAGCTGTGAGGTCATGGGACAGAAAAACCTGTGAATAATTTTCACCAGTTTTTTTCCTCCTCACCTTGGTGGGCAGTTGGTTTCACAATTTCATTTATTCTTTTCCTAGTTTCTTTTCCTGCTACGATAACTGTTGGATCAATGCTTTGATTTAATATTTCCCGTCTCATTCCTCCTCCCAACCTTGAAAGATAAGCAGATGGACTTAAGGAGCCAATTGTTTATTGGGCATTTGCATTGTTACCTGACGCCCCGCCTTACTTTTCACACTCAGAGATTGGCAGTGGATTGAGAGGGAACTGGGATGGAGACAGAAGGATGAGTGAGGGAGAAATGACACAAGACATGAGCAGAAGGCAGCAGAAGAGCCGGAACATTAAACAGAAGAATCTAATTCCTTCTGCCTTAGATTCTTGTTCATCGCCAATGCAGTAAGACACTCTCAAACCCCGGATATGTGGGAGGAGGGAAATTTTGCCAGAAGCAGAGGGGAGAGCCGTAGAAATAATTTCTGAAGCTCAAGTGCCTGATCAAGTTTACGATGACAGCTCTGCATCTTCTCAGGCACTGTGACAACCAACGCAGGGTCTTGAGTCATCTAAGGCCTCTACTTTAGAAACAAAGGTAGCCGTGAAAAAGTTTGATCTATTTCCATTTCCAAATAAGATGAAAATTCACTTCAGAGTAAAATAACCCAACTAGTCGTTGGTGCTACGGGAGTCTTGTCTCTTTTATTTACTGTTATAATCTCAACACTTAGAACAGCGTTTGACACCTAGAGTTGGAGCTCAGCAATTATTTGCGTAAAGAATGAACGAGTATCAGGTCCAAGTCATCAGTGCAAATTCCCCGGGGGGTCAGGCAGCCGACTTAAGTGAATGCATCAGGTTGGATGGAGTGTCGACTGAAAAAAAAATGTACAACGTGAGAATTGTGATTTAAGTTGTTTGGGGCAAAATGAGGACTAGAGCCTGGGAGACAGCATTTCAGATAGTTCTGAGAAACTGCTCCAAAGAGGTCAAGGGAGAGGTCAGTATTATATATGATTTTAGTGAAGGGGGTTCGTGTAGTCAGGCACACATTTTGGCAGAGACTTGCTGCTGGTCACGAGGAGCAGATGTCACTGTTAATGATTTTAGTGCTTTTCTAGATGTGAGGAGATGCAAGAATTGGGCTCATAAAATCTTCTCCTGAAAATGCCTGATTATCTGAAGGTCTGTTCTGCCAGTTTTCCCCAGAGTACAGAGTGCCTCATTCCTGATCTCCACCCTGTGAACTCCTTTCAGGGTGTGTTGAAGGTCAGCGGCTGCCGCGGCTAGTGACTTAATCCTTCAAGAGGCAGATGACAAGTGCCAATCTCTAGCTGGCAGGAGGACGATAGAGAAGCAGGGTACGGGGCAGACCGGAGGACTAAAGCGTTCTTTATTTGTTTCTCTTTTTAAATTAAAATGCTTTGTTCATCAGGCAAAGCTCTGAAGACCACATCTGGCACAGAGCTGCCAGTTTGTAAGATCTATTCCTAGTCACTGCAGCATTTCTGTCATTTCCTTGAGTTTAAGATTGTGGTGAAGCCAAGCCCCTCTGAGACCTATTTCTCAATGTGACAAGGATTTCCACAGGTTGCTTAGATTGTAGAGTCCAGCATTTTAAAGCCGAATGAGGCCTAAGAGATGGTAAGTGCAACCATTTCATTTTGTATCGACGAGGAAGGTGTTGCCCAGAGAGGTTAAGTGAAGTGTGCGAGGTTAAACAGCCTGGTAAAGGAAAAGCCAATTTTGGATCCAGGGAACCGGAATTGCAATCTGGTGCTATTGCTCCTACACCACGCTGACGATACACTTTATGGAAAAAAAGCTTTACGGCATTAATTCTCGAAATGATCGTTGCTGAACTGGAAGCGTGCCTGCTTTTATTTGAATTGAGATTTTATTTTTGCCTGCCTGGAGCAAGGAGATCATTATGGTATTTTAAATGAGGACCAAGGAATTACCTGCACTTCAAATATTAGCAGTTACATTCTGCTAAAGTTGCATGTGGACTGTCTATTAGAAACATGTCACAGGAAACAAGGAACATTTCATACTAATTGTTATAAGCGTAGTATCCATCAAAATGTAAATTTCCCAAAGTGGGCTTTATGTGGATCATGATTTCCTTTATTACAAAATGGACGTGAAAACTCTGGCTGGCTCCTTGTTCTTATGTAAAATCTTCATTTCCTGTGGTGACTCCAATTTATTTTTTCCCAGCTTTAACAGCTCTCACACTGTGATTTTCTATATCTGTTGCAAATGTTCAACAATTTACAGTGCAAATTTTAGTCCATGGCTTTCTGCTTGTAGCTTTTCATGTATAAAGATTAAAGAATGAATGTGCAATCAGCAGATATATAGAAAACATCTCTTGCTAGAATAGATGGTTCAACTTCTGAAACCCCAGTGGAATTTATAATATCTACCTACAGCACTTCCTCTCTTTTGTATTGTGCCTTCTGATAAATAGGCTCCCAGAAGAGACAATTTGGGAAGCTGGAAAGTACTTTATTTTTCGTTATAGCATGACATAGACATAGCATTGTCCAGGACTTGCAGGTGGGAGAAACATCGGAAGCAGAAAGGCAAATCAAAAGAAAGTTTACGCCGCCTAACGAGAACCTTAAAGGCTAATGCTCTTTTGGAAAACAGCACAGAATTTGAGATTACACCTAGAATATTGCTTATTAGTTGTTGCTACCTCAGGACTTAAAAACATGGTAATGCAGTCAGGCACCTGCTGGTATGTTTAGTTAGAGGCAAGGGGCTACTTCCTGAAATTGTGTATGGGGTGTGTGTGTGTGTGTGTGTGTGTGTGTGTGTGTGTGAGTGTGTGAGAGAGAGAGAGAGAGAGAGAGAGAGAGAAAGAGAGAGAGAGAGACTTTTGCATTTCTTTAGTATAAAAATGCTTGCATATGTAAAAATGGTTTTCTTTGAATCTATAAAAACACAGCTGAAACAAAAGGAAGGAGGTATTCAGCCGGCTCAGTTTGCTCTGACCTGCCTATATGGGCAACCAGGAGTACTTCTCAGGCTTCAGGGATGCTGTTGATATTATTAGATCCAATCTGTCTGCATCAGATCTCCCTGACCTGAACCTCTCTTCCAGAAACAAGAGCTACTATTTCAGAAATGCATGAGTATAAAAGCTTTTGTTTACATCTTTGTTTGGTACCTGTTTGATTTGAGAGGACCTGATGGAAACATGTGAACTGCTCTGGGGCGTTCTAACCCAGCTGCTCTAACCCAGCATGTGCATTTGAAAGCACATTCTCACTGCCAGGTTATGGAGGTGACTGGCTAAGCACAGTGCATTGGGTGCAGAACCAGTGAGGACGGGGTAGTTTTATGGGCTGAATTGTGTCTCTTCAACAGTCGTATGTTAAAGTCCTAATGCCCATACCTCAAAATGTCAGTACATTTGGAGATGGGGCCTTGAAAGAAGGAATTAAGATAAAATGAGGTCATATGGGTGAGCCCTAATCCAGTATGACTGGTATCTTCATAAGAAGAGGAAATCTGGACACAGAGAGACATAGAGGAAGAACTACTGGAAGAAGACAGCCATTGACAAGCTGAAGAGAGAGGTCTCAGAAGAAACCAACCTTGCTCACTCCTTGATCTCCAACTTCTAGCTTCCAGAACTGTGGGAAAATAAATTTCTGTTGTTTCATCCACCCAGACTCTGGTACTCTGTGATGGTAGCCCTAGCGGACTTATACTATGAGTTTCAGGAATATATTAGCTTAATTTTAAATTATTTGTTTGATATGGTACTTGACCTTCTGTGAATCTCATATCCAGACCCTTCTCTATGTCTCTCTTGCCATTACACTTTTAAAGACCATCTTCATTTTTTTCCTGGAATACACCTGAGCAATAATGAGAAAGCACTAGTCCAGGGATGGGGATGGGCCTCACCAGCCATGTGATAGAGATGATTGCTAAGGAAGGTAGAGGAGGGTTTGGGAGAAAATTCTCACTCTCTTGTGAGTCACATCTTCTCCACCCCTCCCACCATTGGCTGGTGGTTATGAGTATGGATTTTGTGAGACGTTAAAATAGAGGACCATTGGTATTATAAGCATATCATAATATATCGTAATACATATTTGAAATGAGACTATATGTTCACTCTTGTAAATCTATTAAGAGGATGGAGAGATCATATTGACTAAAACTGTTCTGAGATTGAGACTAAGGTTGGTTGTTGTGTGAAATGAAGAATTTGGATGTACGACTAAAAAGAAAAATCAGATTATATAAAAACTTATTAAATGATATTTTCTGCAAATGGGAGAGGAACAGTTGGTAAGAGCAGGCTGTGGGAAGCGGAGATGTACCCAAATTGGACATTTCCTACTTGACAATTTTGCTTTCCAATTAGAAAAACAGTGCCATCGCCCTCCTTTTGCATCACTTCAAAGCATCAAGTAGAATTCTTGTGCAGAAGACCATCCACCAACTTTGCTGATAGAATCTTTTTCCACAGCAAAGACGGATAACAGTCAAGTTAATGAAAGAGTATACAAAAAAACAAGAAATGTTTTTGGGTTTTTTTTTGCGGTACGCGGGCCTCTCACTGTTGTGGCCTCTCCCCTTGCGGAGCACAGGCTCCGGACGCGCAGGCTCAGCGGCCATGGCTCACGGGCCTAGCAGCTCCGCGGCATGTGGGATCTTCCCGGACTGGGGCACGAACCTGTGTCCCCTGCATCGGCAGGTGGACTCTTAACCACTGCGCCACCAGGGAAGCCCCAAGAAACGTTTTAAGATGACTTAACGGTATCTTAAATTTAAAGGGTTGAGTTGAGAAAGTAGACACTGGTGTTTTAAAAAATGTAAACGAGGCCAAATTTGGATACTGTTGGAAAAAGAGAGAAACAAACAATGCAAATAATAAATAATAGTGTATATCGATGCCTTCTTATAGTATACTGTCCTGTGGAGCCTTTGGTCCTCCAAGCAAATGCTGGGAATACTTGAACCCCATCTATCAGGTTAGTAGGAATGCAGAATGAAGCCTAGATTGGATCAGGTAAGCGTTGTTGCCTCCCTTTCTAATGAGAAGCCAGAGTACAATTAATGAAAGCTATGTAAATGCGCTCCAGGCTGTTAAGATTACAAAGAGAGTTCAGGGCTGGGGATAAAGAATCAGAATAGGATCCACAATCAATTACAGAGAAGGTCCTCCTATCTCAGACAGGCACACACATTTTGATATCATCAGGGAACCAATTGCATCCGGGCGCCTTTTGGAAGAAAAATGTAGGAACATGCTCCCTCCTATTTAGGGAATGATACGAGGGGGCTATTTTTGAATGATTAATTAAAGGGAATCAATCTTCATTGCATTGCTACTGATGTGAAAAGCGCCAGGCCTGAGCAATAATCGCGTGCAATTATTCAACTACCCCTTTGGCAAGGACGACGTCATTAGTCCTGGTGGTGTCGAGAGATTCTCTTTATTCCCAACAAATTGGCAGTTTTAATCAAGTGTTGCTGGAAATTTATCATAACACAGGGAAAACAATAGGTGAAGTTACAGGGCCCCAAGCTGTGTGACTCCTATCTACAATGGTACAAATTTACAATGCTAACAACATGATAAATACTACCAATCCGTGAATGCGTTGATTATAATTTCATATCAGCACCAAGCCTTGGCAGTTCTTATTTGTTTAGAAACATGGCTGTAACGCTTTTTGTGCTGCCTTGAGTTTGTTTGCGGAGGAAGCTGAGGTTAGCCCTGGGTGCTGGTGGCCTGGAACTTGGAAGGTCTAAATGCACAGGGAACAGGGGACGTTTCCAGAAATGCTCACCTACTCCAGCTGCAGGAGTCTGGGAGCAGCTGATAGCAGAACAGATAAGGCACAAAGCACACTTACTACGGCTTATTTTGTGTTTTACTCAGAAGAGTCTTCTGCAGGGGTGATTTTCCAGATATCCAAGGACAGGCCTTTTCTCCACTCTCTTTTTGCTTTTTTCAGGTATTTTTGTGCCTCTGAAAATCTTTGCTTCAAAATAATAGCTGAGGGCTTCCCTGGTGGCACAGTGGTTGGGGGTCCGCCTGCCGATGCAGGGGACACGGGTTCGTGCCCCAGACCGGGAGGATCCCACGTGCCGCGGAGCGGCTGGGCCTGTGAGCCATGGCCGCTGGGCCTGCGCATCCGGAGCCTGTGCTCGGCAACGGGAGAGGCCACAACAGTGACAGGCCCGCGTACGGCAAAAAAAAAAAAAAAAAAAAAAAAAAAGCTGATATTTATCAAGCACTTAGAACATGCTGGGTGTTATACTTAACAATTTACCTATGTTGTCGAATTTAATCCTCTCTAATAGCTTGGGTTAGAAAACTATTATGTTTTTCATCCCTGATTTTACAGATGAGGAAATTAAGACTTGGAAAACAAAGGGCAGGAGAGCACAGATCCCAAGTCCAGGTGGCTACATTCCTGGTCTGTGAGCTGACCCACTGTCCTGCACCAGCGCCCACTCTCAGGCTGCTGTTCCTTATTCTTAGAGACAATAAAAAGATAGACTTAATTTATCTACTTTGACTGAAGCTAGAGGGCTACTGCCTATATTACCTCTGCCTTCTTATTGCAAGAAGAAATCAGCTCTGTTACATTCAGGGGTTTGTGTAGTTTAAGGTGTTCTTTTATAATTAGCATATATTTGTGTGTGTGTGTGTGTGAGAGAGAGAGAGAGAGAGAGAGAGAGAGAGAGAGAGAGAGAGAAAGGGAGGGGGAGAGAGAGAGAGAGAGAGGGGATGGGTATACAGAAAGCCGGAATTTCTCAAACTTACCTCATTGATAAGAATCACCAGGATTCCATGTTAAAACTCAGGTTCCCAGCCCTCACTCCAGATCTGTCCCATCAGATCCTCAGGGAAGGGCCTGGGAATCGGCTAAGAAATTGCTCCTGGTATATCCGGTGTTCGTGCTCTAAGGCAGAATATCTCATAGCGCGTTTCCCCAAGAGTTAGTTCCATGGGATATTAATTATAATATGGAGAACATTTCCCCTGGTCAGATAATTTAGGGATATATAGGTTAAATGATACTTAACAAGTTTCTTCTAAAAGACTTTAAATGTAATGCCCAGTGAGATTATATCAGGAGGTAATTGTGGTTCTCAAATTTTTTCCTAAGTCCTCTGGCTATGGGGCGCTCTCTTCAAGGAACATCTCCTGGGAATGGGGATTTGCACAATATACCCCGGGAGATCTAGTTCCACGGGATGCTTAATGAAATATAAGCATCACCAAGAAAACCTCAACTGCTAGCTTGAACAGTTATGGAATCATTTGGAGGCATAATCACCAGTATCTCTTCCCTAAAGGTATTGAAGGCAATTTCTGGAAAACATTTATAAAGAAACAGTGTGAAACTTATCCAGGAATTAGAAAATGTGCAGGATTTGCTTATTTCAGGTGAGCTTTGGAAGTATTAAATAGCTCTCTGATGTGAGATTTTAACAGCATGTTCTTAGAAGCATGTTGGAAGGTCCTCAGGAAAACAACCATGATCCAGTTTTTCTTTCTCTCTTTCTGCTGTCATAGTAGCAACACAGGCCGAAGGAATAAAAGTGGTTATTTAAAGGCTGTTTTGGCATTCGGAAGGGTCTGGGATCCTAGGCTGAACGGGGTTGGAAATATAGCTCATAAATCAAAGGATGTTAGCCCAAATCCCATTGCTTAAAGGTGAGCCCTCTTGCAAACAAAATCGAGAAGCTTCGAAGAAGTCATGATCGGCACGGTTAACACCAAAGTGGCTGATTTCTGGCCTTTGTAAAATGCAGCGTACTTAAAGCAGGTTTCAGGAAGGAACACATCAAGAACTAACTCCCAAACCCAGCAGAGCTCATTTGTGGATAAGGCCTTGTCAGTTGCTGCCCTGATCTCACTTTCACTCCTTTGTTCTACTGGTTGCAAGAACGAACATCTGGCACAGGGCCTGGAAAGCAGACTCCATCCTCCCGTTGCACCTGCCCCAGGAGGAGAAGGAGAAATGCTTTAATGACAAAAGGTAGGATTTTCAGAGCAGCATTCCCACCCATTAAAGCAGCTTGTTTGATCCCTTCAAAGCTCAAGATCAAAGGGAGGCTTTTCCAGAGCTGCCAACTCATAAAGCTACAAGCAGAGAGAAGGACCTCTGTCTTCCCGCCGCCAGGTGGATCACCCTTCCAGTTCTCAGCCGGGGGAAGGGGCCGTGGGTGGGTTGGAGGGATTTCTCATATCTGACTGCTGCCATGTGGATCCTGGACCTTCTCGGGAAAGCAGGAGTTACTCCTGGAAGGTCTTGGCAAGTCAAAACCACTATTTGGTAAAGAAACCCCGAAATCTTCTCTCTCTTCCTCGCCTCCACCTGGGGGACAGGTTGCCAGTGTTCACCTTATTTCCTAATTCCAAAGGCATGACCACACATTTCTGCGTGTAGGAAAAGCTCCCAGCACATTTCCTCTCCTCCGTAATTTACAAACCTGATCATGAGAAAACAATCCTGTAATTTTTTTTTTTTCGGTACTTAGGCCTCTCACTGTTGTGGCCTCTCCCGTTGCGGAGCACGGGCTCCGGACGCGCAGGCTCAGCGGCCATGGCTCACGGGCCCAGCGGCTCCACGGCATGTGGGATCTTCCCGGACCAGGGCACGAACCCGTGTCCCCTGCATCGGCAGGCGGACTCTCAACCACTGCGCCACCAGGGAAGCCCAATCCTGTAGTTTTAAGTGTATTTCAAAATCTCCATTTTATGAGATCCTTGCTGGTTTTGACTATAATGGAATGTATGAAGCAGGGACATGAATTTGGACTAGCTTACCCAAGAAAGTGTGATGAGAGGATTCTGAGCCCCCCTCAGCCTGTCACCACCTCCCTGCCAGTAGCAGAGGTCCCCTGGCCCCAGACCAGTACCTCATGCTGACGCTGGCCAAGGCTCCAGGAATGGTGGGTAGTGTTTTCTGGGTAGAGAGGCAGCCAGACTGTGACTGTCTCTGGCAAGGGCTACACAGTGCTATAGAAGATTTTTGATTTAAAAATAATAACCCCCCCTCCCAAACACAAACAAACATTTATAAGCATAGGCAGCAAAAAAACCTCCCAGACACCAGAATAAACACAGGATTGTATAGAAGTTAACCATGGTATTGAGAACTATATTCAATATCTTGTAATAACCTATAATGAGAAGGAATCTGGATCACCTTGCTGTACACCAGAAACTAACACAACATTGTAAATCAACTACTTCAACAGAAATAAAAAAGACAGATTCCCACCAAAAAAGAAAAAGAAATTAACCATGGATCTGCATCTAACAGTCCACACATCTTAAGCACAGAACCTAGGAAGGGGACACAGGTGGGAGAAGTTCAAAACAATGACAAATTTAGAGGGGAGAGGGGAGAAAGAAGAAATACTCCCTGGACACCTGAAAATAAGGATGGAAACCAGATAAGACAAAGGCCAAGGGAATGGAGTGAAGAAAACCAGTTTCTGGAGGCACAGTGGCCCCGGGCTGCAATAGCACCAAGCCTGCGGTGGGGCCGATGATTGGTTTTGCCCTGGAACAAATTTTTCTCCTAGAAAAAAATCTTCATGAAAGCAAAATGGGTGGCATCACAGGATTCTATATACAGAAATTTAATGACGCGTTTTTTTTTTTTAAGCTTTGCCTCTTTTCTAGGTGCTGTATATGAGGCCAGTTGAACAGAGGGATGATCAGAGAAAAGCTACACTCGCTGTGAGGGTTAGCTGAGCTTGGAGATGCAGAGAGGTGGAATCATCCATTAACCTGGATGGGAAGGTGCGGGCCTGAGTGACAGGCAGGGTCATTTTGTGAGAGGTGAGGCAGTGGAGAGGAGTAAACATTGGGGAGCAAAGCAGGAGGCAAGGGAAGAATTTGATTCCCATGCATCTCCTTGGGCAGAGCTCCAACCTGTGGGAAGAAGTTACTGAGTCTTCCTGGGCTCCAGCTGGGCGATTGCTCTGCCCGTTTCCCCAGCTGGACTTCAGCTACAGTGGCGAGAGTGAATGTGATGGTTAGAATGCACCTCGTGTATCACCCACAGTCTATGTAGCTTTCTGCTCTGAGGAAACAAAGGAGCAATGGTAAATAGTGAGAAAATGAGATAAAAAGACAAAGCCTTTCAGCGGCTTAGAGAGATCAAGCAAGGACACAGAGAGACCAAGTTCAAGATGGGGCTGTAAACCTGGCTCCCTAACTCTCCGCTGGGGAAAAGCAGAGCCAAGCCTCCTACTTCATTGCCCTCCTTGGCATCCTAAGAAAGCAGCCAGGGATTTCCTCAAAGGTAGAACTCTCTTGGGTCTCATTTATTTCTGTTGGAGTCAACGGCTGCAATTCAAAGTCTGTGACAGATGTATTGGCAATCACATGTTTTCAAGGTAAGAACACAGATACAGGGGAGGTTCCTCATATTCCCTGATTCCAACATTTCCAGTTTTTGGAGAGATCCTACGTTCCCTGAAAAATGTAGTCCTTTTTCATAGAAGATAATAAAAAAGAGAACCCTCCCTCTTTCATTTTAGGTGCACCAACTCTTAAAGTATGGAAGCTAAAAGAGATTTATGTTTGGTTGTTTGTTTTATCAATTCCCTGTGACGAAATTGAGGCTCAGTAAAAATAGTTGATTCGCTCAGGCCTGGGGTGATGGGTCAGCAGTAGGAATTGTGGTTCCGGGAAACACTGAAGCAAATGAGGCTATTTTGATCAGTGTGGCCGCTTGTCTAACTGGGAGGTGGCTACTCAACAAAGGCAAGAGCTGTGTCTGTCTGAAGCATCATTGCATCCCTATCTCTTAATCATGTCCTTGGTACATGATAGGGACTCAACAAAAATATTCGTCTCTCACAACCTACATTTAATCCTTTAGCAAGTCCTTATGGCCCTACTCTCAAAATATATTCTCAACCCAACCGCTTCTCACCTCCTCCACTGTTGCCACCCGCGACTCAACCGATGGCATCCCTCATCTGGGTTATTGTGATCATCTCTAGATGAGCCTTGCTACGTCTGTCATTTACCACCACCTCCTCTCTATAA